TGGCCCAGGATCGGACATTGTTTCGTTCTGTTGTGCATGGGGTCGCTATGAGTCGGTTCTGACTCGATGGCACCTGACAACAACAAGTGTCAACTATGGTTCAGTCACTACTTTGGATGACCTTGGACAAATCACAGCAACCTTCCTGGCCCGGGTTCCTCATCTGAAAAATGAAAACCAGTGCTGGGGAGTCTGTTCCAAGTCGTGCTGACCCCATGTGTGTCAGAGCAGAACTGCTATGTGGGGTTTTCAAAGGCAGATTCCTCAACAGTAGCTCTTCTGGTGTTTCTTCTGAGTCATTTCTGGGTGGTCTTGAACTTCCAGCCTTTCAATTAGTTCAATAATCATTTGCACAACACAGGGGCTCCCCTCTCTAAAGTAGGGAGGAGCCTATCTACCTTGTGGAAGGAGTCCATAGTAAGACTGTCGTTATTAAGTGCCGTCGAGTCAGTTCCGACCCATAGCGATCCTGTGTAGGGTTTCTGAGGAGCACCTGGTGAACCTGAACTGCCGACCTTGTGGTTCAAAGCGCCTTTGCAGCCCAGTGCATTAACCCACAGCGCCACACCAGGACTCCAATAGTAAGACTGTTGTTGTTGTTGGTACATGCCATCGAGTTGGTTCCCACCCATAGTGACCCTACATAGGGTTTCAAATGAGCAGCTGGTGAGCTTGAACCTCCAACTTTGTGGTTAGTAGTCCAGTGCTTATGCTACAGCCCCACACCAAGACTCCCTAATTATGGTTATTGATCATAAAAACATCAACACCATTATTTGTATATAATATTCATTACTAATGCTGTTGAGTCCTGATGTGGCTCTATAGGATAAGCACTGGACCGCGGGTTGGCTTGAACTGCAAGGTCGGTGGTTCAAACTCATCAGCCACTCCTCAGAAATCCTATACAGGGTCACAATGAGTTGGAACTGACTCGACAACACTTAACAACAACAACCAGTTAGAGGGATGAGAAAATTCACAAGGAGGGCCTCATTCCCCTCTCCCACAGAGCCAAAGTGTTATTATTTGGGGCCCAGAGGCATATAGGACTCCTGGTGTGGTGCTGTAGAATCAGCAGTGGACTGCTAACCACAAGGTCGGCGGTTCAATCCCACCAGCTGCTCCTTGGAAATCCTGTACACGGTCACTATGAGTCAGAACAGAGTCAACGGCACACAACAACAACAACAACAATGGGCATATAGGAGACCCATTGTAGTTGTGTGCCAACAGGATTCAATAGCATTAGTGTGGCACTGTAAGATAAGCACTTGACTAAAAGGTTGGCAGTTCAGACTCGCCAGGGCTCCTCGGAAACCCTATAGAGAGTCACTATGAGTCGGAACTGACTCGACAGCACTTAGCAACAAGAACCGCCTTGATTTCCACAAGGAGTTATGGTTAGGGATAATTAAACCCTGTAGAGTTGTAAGTAGAGGGCAATCCAATAAGCAGGGAAGCTGAAATCAAGCCTGGCTTTTCTGCTGTTTGACCTTGGGCAGGTCACTCACCCTCTCTGAAAACCTGTCTTCATCCATGAAGGGGAATAGTTGCCATCCTCACGATGACTCCTAGTCCTCTCTCCGGGGCCTGCTCGGCTCTCTGTGGGGGGCTGGTGGGATGAGTGAAGAGAGATGAGACACCCCTTGTCCCTCCTGTCCCGCAGGAGTCAGGATTGTCTGTGTGGATTGGCCAGCAGATGCACCCCCTGGAGAAGGTGCCCCCCATGCTGGCTGTGCTGCTCATTACTGTGGTCATCGCATTCTTCACCGAGTTTGCCAGCAACACAGCCGCCACCATCATCTTCCTGCCTGTCCTGGCAGAGCTGGTGAGGGTCTTGGGGAGGCAGGGGAGGGACTGGCAGCAGGAGGAGGACCGCTTCTCTCCCCATCACCCATTGAGACCTATCTCCCCTGCTACAGGGAACCCCACGTGGGGCCACACTTGCCATGACGCATGGAAAGGTCAGAACAACAGCGTGACTATTAAGAAAGATTATTTCCCCTTCAAGAAATGCTTAGAATAATTGTTTTCTTGAGTCCATGAAATCAGTGTGCAGTGAACAGAAGCTTGTGACAATATGGAGAGTTTTCTAGGAAAATGTACCTTACCAATGTGGATTAAGAGGAAAAGGAAACTAAACAACCAGAGGAAGAATCCCAGTGGCAGGCAAAGCTCTTAACCCATTGTTGCCCAGTTGATTTTGACTATCGTGACCCTGGAGAACAGTAGAACACTCCCTAGAGCTTCTGAGGCTGAAAATGTACATCTTTATGAATGCAGACAGCCTCATCTTTCTCCCTTGGAACAGGTGGTGGGTTTGAACCACCAGCTTTTCAGTTAGCAGCCCAATGCTTAACCCATCGTACCACCAGGACTCCTGTGGCAAAACTCTAGCCTCCCTCTCTAGCAAGGTTTCTAGGCTGGATAACTGCGGAGAGTCTGGCCCCTGGGTTGTAGGCGTCCCTGGATGCCAGTAGCACTTCGCCCCCAGCTGAAACAACCAAGAATGCCCCCCAGTCATTACCAATTGTCCCCTGGGGGTGCAAATCACCCCGGGTTGAGAACCACTGTTCTAAGACACCAGCCCTACATGGTTCCAGGCAAAAGCTAGCAAACCATTAAGCAACAAACAGCTCTGAACTTTACCCCAAACTTCCCCCCACCCCCGCCCCCACCAGCAGCATCACCTGGGACTAGATGATATGCAAACACCCTGGTCCCATCCCAGGTGTGGGTGCCGGAGTGGAGCCCTGCAATCTGCCCATACATTAACAAACCTCATGTGGGTTTGGGGCACAAAACAGAGTTTGAAAACTCACCATAGATTACTGATCAGAAACTGCATGGCCAGGACCCTGCACTCCAGGAAAGTGTTCTAGATTAACCACCCAACCTATCCTCCCTGAAGAAATGGCAGTGTGGCCCCAGGAATGAGCTTTTCTGATGGGTCTCTATTCGGGGCTGCTTTCCTCTCTGTCTAAATTGGTCTCGATGGCTCTCTCGGTTACTCCTCCAACCTCTGTTCTGTGTCATCTCTTACTCTGTGACTGTGTGTCACTCTTTTTCAAGTCTATCTCTTGTGGTTTCTCTATATTTATGAATCTCTTTCTAAGTCTCTCTGGTACCCTCTGTGCCCAGGCCCTCCGCTTGCGAGTGAACCCACTGTATGTGATGATCCCCGGCACGGTCAGCTGTTCCTACGCCTTCATGCTTCCAGTCTCAACGCCCCCCAACTCAATCGCCTTCTCCTCTGGACACTTACTGGTCAAAGACATGGTGAGTCTAGGCGTTTGCTGGTGGTGGCCTAGAGAGGATGTGGGCTCCTGGTGGGACCTGATGAGAGATGGTTGAGGAGTAGAAAGATATAGGACACAGAGAGACAGACGTTTCAGAGTCTCCTGCCTTGCTGGTCCTGAGCGTACTTTTTCTCTGGGAGAACACTTTGTTGTCAAGTTCCATAGTGTCCGTTCCAACTCATACTGACCCTATATAGGGTTTCTGAGGCTGGAAATCTTTGCGGGAGCAGAATGCCTCAGCTTTTCTCCCTTGGAGTGGCTAGTGGACTTGAACCATCGACCTTGTGATTCACAGTCCAATGCTTTAGGTGCCAATCAAAGTGACTAATGGAGCTCTGTTGATAGAAGGGTTAAGTGCTTGGCTAGAAACCAAGAACACACCCAGATGCTCCACAGGAGAAAAGTCCTGACGATCTGCCCAGTAAAAATTGCAGGCTAGAAAAATATATGGCACGTTCTAGTCTCTTTTTCAAGGAGTTCTGGTAGCGTAGTGGTTACGAATTGGGCTGCGAACCTCAGGGTCAGCAGTTCGAAACTACCAGCTGTTCCACGGGAGCAAGATGAGGCTTTCTGCTCCCTTAAAGATTTACAGCCTCAGAAACCCTGTACAAGTAGGTCAGTATGAGTCAGAACCGACTCCACGGCACATAACAACAACAACAACAGTCTCTTATTCAGGGCCACTGTGAGTCAAAATTGACTGGATGGCCCCTAACAACAATAATGTGGACCAAGCAGACATTGCATGCCAGGCTCCTGGGACCCTGGAAAACTTCCTTCAGCTTTCCATTACCAATTCTGACTGATCCTTATCGAATCCTGTAAAGTTGCTGGAGACTTGAAGACCCCTAGAATGGGGGTTATTGGATTCTTGGTGTCACAGTGGTTAAAGCACTTGGCTGCTAACCTAAAGGTTGACATTTCAAATGCACCAGCCACTCTGAGGGAGAGAGATGTAGCCGTGTGCTTCTGCAAAATTACAGCGTTGGAAACTGTGTGGGGCACTTCTACTCTCTCCTATCGGGTTGCTCTGAGTTGGACTCAACCCCAGGGCAGTGGTAGGGTGAGGGTTAAGTGACACAACCTATGACAAATGCTGCACGGTGCCTGCCAGTCCTCGAGGACAGCCTCGTTGTTGTGAGCTGGCATTGAGTCAGTTCTGACTCACAGTAAGTCATGGATAACAGAAGGAAAATGCTGCCCAGCCCCGCTGTGTGCCCATGTTTGTTGACATGTTTGAGTCCACTGTTGTGGCCATGTATTGACCCATCTCAGTGGGTTTTCCTGACCCTCTGCTTTACCGACCATGATGTCCGTGTATAGTGGAGGCCTTCCCTGATGATATGTCCAGAGTCGTGAGCTGAAGTCTCGTATCCTTGCTCCTGGCTATCTTTTTTCTAAGAGTGATTTCTTCAGCCTTGTGGCAGCCCACAGTCTATTCAATACCCTTTGCCAGCCCTGTGATTTGAAGGCACCGAATCTTCTGAAGCCCTTTTTTATTTTCCAGCCTTCACATGCTTATGAAGTGATTATAAAGACCAGGGTAGTGTCAAGTTTAAAGGGTCATGGGCATGCACTGAGCTACATTTGTGTCGTGGCTCTGTCCCTTCCCAGCTGTGAGGTCTTGGGTGAATGACTTCCTGTCTCTGAGCCCTGATTGTCCCCATCTGTATAATGGGCATAGGGCAGCCAGTCTCAGTCTGGGCTTCATTTCAGGTGCGGACAGGATTCCTGATGAACTTGATGGGCGTCTTGCTACTCAACTTGGCCATAAATACGTGGGCACAGACCATCTTCCAGCTGGGCACCTTCCCAGACTGGGCTAACATCCACTTAGCCAACGGCACAACGGCACTGCCACCCACCTTGATCAACGACACACTTCGGACCCTCTGAGTCCCCACAGCACTCCCAGAGGGCTGTCACCAAAACCCGCTGCTAAGGAGTTGCTTGACCATCAAGCAATTTTTTTTTCTGTGATCCATATACAGAATGCAAGGGTCACCTCCAGTGGTCCACTCAGGCCTATAGGGTCATTTTCTAAGACACCTCTTTCTCCCTCGTGCATTTCAGAGCCTAGATATCTCCCAGATCTGCTGCTGGAGAAACAACCTCTTTTATCTCTCTGAGCTGTTATGTGACTAAGGTACAACAGAACTGTCCCACCGGGATGGTTTCCCATCCCCCTGTAAACACTCTCCCCAGCTAACTGTTTTCAATGTCTCTTAGTTTTTTAGTGCTGCTATGACAGAAAATAGGAGTAGGTTAATGCGCCAGACTGCAAAGCCGTTTGAACTGCAAGGTTGGCAGGTCAAGGTCACCAGCTGCTCCTTGGAAACCCTACACAGGGTCGCTATGGGTCGAGATCGACTCGAAGGCACTTCACAACAACAACAATAACAGAAATACCACAAGCAGGTGGCTTAAACAAACAAAAATTGATTCTGTCACAGTTTCAGAGGCTAGAAGTCTGAGTGCAGAGTTCCAGCTCTCGAGGAAGATTTGTTTTTTCCCTGTCAGCTCTGGAGGAAGGTCTTTGTCTTTTCTGACTTTCTGCTCTTTGGTGATCTTCATGTGGTTTGGCATTTGTCTGCCCAATCTCGACTCTGTTCACTTGTTTAATCACTTTTCTATCTCAAAAGAGAGTGGCTTAGAAGACACTTTACACTAATCGTGCCTAATTAAGATCACAAAGAAAATCCATGTTCCCAAATGGGATTATAACTAGAGGCATAGAGGCCAAGATATGCAACACATATTTTGTGGGGACAGAACCCGTACTCTGAAGAGAAGCTCTTGCTTTGAGGAAGAACTTTCTTCTGAGAGGCACATTAACAACAGTAGGTGCTCTGTTTGATGGTACCTCTTGTGTACCAGAGAAGGTTTTCCATCCCTGGAGACGGGGACATGGGGGCTGTGGAGGAACACAGGACAACTTCCTGAGTATAGGGACCGCGCAAAGACTCTTGGCGGCCTCTCTGGGCCCTGGAGCACCCCAGTCCTATAAACACCAGCTGACTTTTCTATCATGTCTTAGGAGTTTTCTGTTCAACCTGATTCCGTTTGGTAATAACTCTGGGGTCGGTCCCGTCAAGCTGGGCACCCCCCCTCTGGTGGTTGACCCTCAGCCTCTCCAGCCTGAGCCTTCTTGAATGTGACCACTACTTCCTGCTCCTACAGCTGGACTCTTCTTCCCCATCCCCAGCCCAAATGGTAAATATGTTTGACTAACAATGGCCACATTGTTCAGAGACATGAGGAAAATCAGAAGATAAATCAGAGCCTTATCAAGGTCTCCAGCAGGGGAAATGTTGCAATCCCTTTCTATGGATGGGAACACTGAGGGCTGGAGGATTTAGTTCCCAATGGATCGTGCAGTACTAGGCCCAGAAGGAGGAGGCCTAGTGGGACTGGTTGAGTCCTTAGCTGCTAAGTGAAAGGTCTGAGGTTTGAACTCACCAACCACTCCATGGGAGAAAAGACCTTGCGATCTGCTCCCATAAAGATCACAGTCTGGAAAAACTACAGGGCAGTTCTACTCTGTCCTGTGTTGTCGTTGTTAAGTGCCGTCGAGTTGATTCCAACCCATAGCCACCCTGTATAGGGTTTCTAAGGAGCCACTGGTGAGCTTGAACCACTGACTTCGCAGTTCAAACGGCTTTGCAGTCTGATGCATTAGCTCACCGCACTACACCAGGACTCCTTAAGTTGGAAAGACTCAAAGATATCCAGCAACAACCCGTCCACAAGACACTTGGCCGGTGTCTACTGAATGAATGGGCTAGTATTAGCTCAGCCTCACAAAAGCCAACCGCCAAGGGACCCAAACCCCTCAAATGCCCTCCTACACCAGGGGACAAGAAAACAGCACCCATTCTGGGCAAAGCACACAGGGGTGAGGTGAGAGAAGAGAGGACCTTGAGTCAGGTGAATGAAGTCTCCTTCCCAAAAGCACTTCTGTATTGAAACCCAGTCACAGCCCAAGGAGTGGGATGGGGTGGGCTTTGTGGGACAGTACGGGGAAGGAACTTCCTGTGGAAAACCATGGGGACTGCAACCAAATGAATTGTGATTTCAAATTCTTCTGATTGAAAAAGGCTGGTAAATAAAACTGTGAATCACACTGGGCCTGGGTGTGTGTGCTTTCCAGACATAAGGGAAGGAATCCTGTGGGGATAGTGGTTAAGCACTCAGCTGCAAACTGAAAAGTCGTCCTTTCGAACCCACCGGTTGTTTCACGGAAGAAAAGATCTGGCAATCTACTGTCATAAAGATTGTTGTTAAGCGCCATTGAGTCGATTCCGACCCATAGCGACGCTGTATAGGGTTTCTGAGGAGAAGCCTGTGAGCTTGAACTGCCAACCTTGCAGTTCAAACGGCTTTACAGTCTGGCACATTAACTCACTGCGCCACACCAGGTCTCCACCATAAAGATTACATCTTAGAAAATCCTACAGGACAGTTCTACTCTGTCATTTTAGGTACAGCCAGAATGTCCTTTGGACGCAAGGATGGCAAGACTTTGAACAAGTTATCATGAGGGGACCAGTGTTGAAGAAGGCCCATCATGCTTGGTAAAGTGGAGGATCCGCTAACAAGAGGAAATCCCTCCATGAGATGGAGTAACCCAGTGACAGCAACAATCGGTTTCAACAAAGCAACAGTTAGGAGGACGGGGGCCCAGCAGTGTTTCATTCTGTTGTGTATGGGTTGCTGTGATTTAGAACCGACTTGATGGCACCTAACAACAACAACAACATGAGTGGGAATCAACCCAAGAGCCCACAAATGGGTTGTGTAAGAACTTCAAAGTCCAAAATTTGTGGGCTGGGGATTCACAGAATTGACCTCTCTGTCACCTCTCCCTCACTCTACTCCAGTCACCCACCCACCCAGACACTTCTGCCTCAGGGCCTTTCGCATGAGCTGTTTCCTCTGCCTGGAGCACTCTGCCCCCTCTCCTGGCTCAACTCCTCCCCTCTGTTAGGTCTCTGCCCAAATGGCATCTTCCGGGAGAAGCTTCCTGTTTAAAAGATCTTCCTCATTTCTCTCCAGCCCTTAACTAACTCTGCTCTAGTTTTCCTCTTCGTACTTAGCCCTGACACTGTGTGGTTTTCATTTTCTCACTTCTTGTCTTTCTCTTGCTCTAGAGCATAAACTTATGAGAGTATAAACTTTATTGGATTCACTTACGTCACTTCATTACCTAGACCAGTTTCTGGCACATAGTAGGTGCTCAATAAACATTTGATAAATAAATCAACACCAACATTTACAAGAAAGCAATCTCACCCTCTAACCTGGGGTTGGTTTGGTTCATTTCTTCAACCACTCATTCTTTTATCTATTCATTCAACAAATACTTATTTAGAACCTGTTATGTGCTGGTTCAGAGCCCCACAAATGGTTAGGCACTGAGCTATTAATTGAAGAGTTGAAAGTTTGAATCTACCCAGAAGTGCTTCCGAAAAAAGATCAGAGCCACTGAACTCTATGGAGCACAATTCTCCTCTGATACACATGGGGTCACTGTGAGTCAGAATTGACTTAATGGCAAGTGTGTGTGTGTGTGTTGTTTTGTTTTTTATGTGCTGGTTCACTGTGAAGCTTGTGACACAAAGAAAACAGACAGTAGGCAAGTAGACAGATGCATAAGATAACAGCAGACTACGATGAAACCGAGACTGGTCAATGTAATTAACTGAGTCAGAGGCTATTCTAGTCGTGTGGTCAGGGAGGGCCTCTCTGAGGAGGTGGCACTAGGTTAAGCACTGAAGGAGTGGGCAGTGTGAGGTCTGTGTGGAGAACATTCCAGGTCAAGGAGTTGCAAGTGCCAAGGTCTGGAGGTCCAAGTCAGGAGAGATGGTCTCTGGGGGCAGAAGGCTGCGCATGCGACCTGGACCTTTGTGGGGGTTTAAAGTCAGTCACCCACCTGTGGCTGGTCACAAGACCCCTCTCCTGAGCACATCTCCTGCCATAGAAAGCATTGGGCTCCTAGCACCCTCCGAGGGAATCCTTGTATGGATGCTGTTCTGCCTGATGCTGAAAGGTGGCCGCTATTCTTGGAAAGAGGGAACCTGTGGGCAGGGGCCGGGTCCCTTACAGATGAGCTTATCGCTTTGTGGGAGGAGAGATGAAGAGTCACTGGAAACACACGAGGGACTCATGTGTAAGGTGGACCACGAGCACCAGGAAATCAGAAAGGACAAAAAGCAAAGCCTGCTTTAGTTATCTGTGGTTGCATGACAAACCAACTCCCAAACCACAATTCATTTGCTCACATTTCTGAATTTGGCCTGAGTTCTGTAGGACTTGTACCCTACATGGTGTGGAGGAATGCTGGGGGAATGGATTAAGAGTAGGCTGCTAACAGCAAGGTTGGCAGTTCAAATCCACCAGCTGCTCCACAGAACAATGAGGCTGTCTGCTCCCATGAAGATTTACAGTCTTGAAAACTTCAGGTAGCAGTTCAAGCCTGTCCTATAAGGTCGCTATGAATTGGAATCAACACAATGGCAGTGGGTGGGTGGGGTGGCCAGGTCAGTCAGCTGGGAGTTTACTGACCCTATCTTTACATGGCCTCTACCAGAGCTTAGACTGGACATCTCATGGGCAGTAAGCTTCTGTTGTTGCTGTTTTAGTGTCTTGGAGTCAGTTCCGACTCATAGTGACCCTCTATAGGGTTTCCAAGGAACAGCTGATGAGTTTGAACCTTGTTTTTCAAATCAACCTAGAGGTCAAGTGCTTATCCTACATTGCCACACCAGGAAGAAAGCAGAATTGGCAAGGCCCCCCGAAGGTCTGGGCTTTGAAGTGCAGGAAGTATCCATTCTGCCACATTCTATTGGTCAAAGCAAGTCACAGGGTTGGCCTGGTTCCAGGGGAAGGAGAAAGAC